ATCCGCTGTCTGTTATTCGGTGGATAGCCACTTCTTCCACCCTATCTATGAGGTGCTACAACACCCTAGTTACTGAGGCTAAATACTGACTCCTTTAAATTCCCTGTAGAACAGTCAAGACCAGAGTCTAGTTTTGCGCTCTCTCTAGGCGCCATCGCCCTAACTTATGAAAGAATGAGATCAATACTGATTAATCAAAATGGAGAAATCGTCTACGTAGAGAGAAGTAACAAACTTTGGTCTACTTTCATAAAAGGTGGAAGAAAAGAATGCCTCATCTACAGACTCTTCTACAGCCACTCAAGCTAATGACTTCAAGACACATTACTCCCTTAATCACCCACTGATGGATTGTAGAGAGGCCGAGGAAGTTGATCCCATTCAATTTGATCAAATTTTCTAAAAAAATGCATCCACCAGATAAAGTACTTAAATTGTAAGATCTTCTACCATCCTTGACTGCTCTCCTTAATGAGAGATTAGCTTCTGCTCTTAAAAAGCCAAAAGTTAATTGTTTTCTGCCTAATCTCTCCATATACTTACCCACAGGAATATGGATTGTGTCTGATTTGCATCCCTAATCCCGCAGTCTTAGAAGGCAGCTCTACTGTCTACCCTCGGGTGGGTAAGAGAGGAAGAGAAAAGCAGATAAGAAGACCGAGAAAGAGAGAGAGAGAGAGAGAGCAACCACCCCGAGCACAGCAACAAATTGATTGCTCGCAAAGCATGGAGTGTAGACCCTTTACGTCTCCCCTGAGGCATACAAACACGCACACAGACCCACAAGCTCGTATACTTCCGCCTCCAGACTGTGGCTAGTCGAGACTTGTGCCCTTAAAGTGGAGGCAGTGGAGGCTTTCATTCACTTCACAAGATCGTAGACATGGAATGAATTGCGAATAAAAATTATGAATTGGAATAGGGTTTAAATCTATTGTTAACTTTTTTCCATTTTTTCCACCTTATGATTTGATTTGTGTAGAGTTTGCTGCTGTGAAGAGGCACTAGGATGCGAGAAACTGCTCAATCTCCCATCCATTTTCCCTAGTCACTCCCATAATTTAATTACTTGTCATAGAGGACTCAAAGGTCCAATTTCTAGGCGATAATTTCATGACACACTGACACAGACTCACTAATGCCAAGGAAGTGGGAAGAGGGCTCGTTTCCTCCTTCTACCTCTCAAACTGCTGGCACTCGAGTGTGTGTGATCTTGGTTCAAAAATGAGGTGTTTTCTTAAGTCGGTACCTACCAACACCCACAACTTGCGTTTGTGTGCTAGTGTGTGTGCTTGCTTGCCTGCCTGCCTGCCTGCCTGCTTGCCTACCGGGGATGGAGGAAGTGGAGAGGAACGTAAAGAAGGGGAAGCATTCGCTACATTTAGTGAACATGCACATTGAGGCATTTTGTTGGTGTTTGTGATGATGCATCGTTGAGGTAGGTAGGATGATGGAGTGGGAAATGCTATTCCGCTAGCGTGTTGGATGCAGTCGCTACACACACGTGTTCACCTCTCACCTGCTTTTGGATCTCACTTGGTGAATTTTAATCCACTTTTTTTATAAATATATGTATATACATATTCTATCCCCAGGATAGTAGCTATTCAACAACTGTACTCCTTCCATTTTGGACTGCTTTAGCCTGCAACGGTCAACATCCAAGTGGATCAGATGTGATGGAGGAGAGTAAATCCAAATCCACCGATCGTTTTTACGATCAATCAGCGTCATCAGCCGCTTATCCTCAGACGTCTCAGTTTAGCTGCTACTCAAATCCTGAGACCACAGGTTTCCTTGAGGGTATGTTCACCAACACCACCACTGCTACAAGTGTTGTAGCACCTTCACCGGATGGTAGTGTGCTGCCAACAACTATAGGATATGACGCCACCAGTCAGTACGGCTTCGATCCAACCACTGGACACTTTCTTGCTCCTGTCTCTTTCTTTTCTGGCACCAGTCAACCTGAGGGCATCACCTCACACTCCTTAACTTCCCTTGACTCTCAGACTATTGCAGCATCGCACACCAGCAAACTTCATCATCAGCACACACCTCATCACAATCATGGCCATCAGCATCAGCACCATCATCATCACCATCAACAGCGACCTCAACAATTGGAGCAGCACAGAAGTTTGGAGGAAACGGCGTCCAGTAAGTCTTGCTACTGGATTTCTTTTCAAATTCAACCCCTTATGCATACCACCCCGTTTAATTTTTTTTAAAAGTTCTGTAAAATGGTTTTAACCTCTCATTGCTACTCTTAAGTTCAGTACCCAGAATGATTTCAGCATTTGTCGGTATAGAATAGACATTCTATCAAGCCACCCGAGGCAGCATTTTGCTGACTCAATTTGAGCACTTTAGAGGATGTTAAAATGTGCCACCTACGGCGTTGAAGGCGGTAACCGTTATGAATTTCAGGGCCTTTTCCTTTCCCATTAACTTCTTCAAAGTTGAAGCAACTTTGCCGGGAAAGAGATCTTTTTGGAGAATACGCTACTGCTTAACTCGTCTTGCGAACTCATAGGGACTTTTTTGATAAGTTTTCTGTTTAAAATCAAAGAGAGAAGGCGTGTACCGGCTAGAGCTCCACAGTAGGCAGGTCCCCTGCTCCCAGTCGATGATTTACTTAAATAACGCACCATTTTTAATATCCAACTTGTTCTTTGATGCTTCCCTTACTGTCACAAGAATTCTCCCCTACTTTTTGGCCATAAATTTACCAAAATGAAGCCAATACGAGCATTTAGCCACAGCCAAGGCGATATTACTTAATTACCATAAGTAACGCAAATGAAGTTGATTACTGATACCTTAATTCGCTGCCATTCCCGCTCAAAACTCCTACCACTTTGACTAAACGCAGGGATGGGACTAGGGTGCTTACAGGCCACATTTTAAGCCACATTGTCTGCCTTTCTGTCTCGTATTCCGCTGTGATTGCTTTAAGCATTGAAACAATTCAAACTACTCTCAGACTGTCATTAAAATCTATCATTCACCATTCCTTTTCCTCCACATCATCGTCGCTCATTTAAAATCACCTCCCAGCGATCTGTTAGAATCTACACAGAGCTATCAGTGTCTTGTATTTACACTGCTACATGTGATTTGATGCGAGAGTAATCGAACCAGCGAGTTAAAGGGTGTGAGACGGAGAAGGGGCGGAGAGAGAGCTCCGAAAAGAAACAATTTAGTTATAACCTCCCATTTAGCCTCTGTTAGGCGCCAAAGTACCAGCCAAGTACTGCAACGGGATACACTGCACACCTTCTGGAGTCGTAGGTGTCGCTGTCAAACCTCCTTTGGACTCTGACGTTACTAAATATTAAGCAAAAAAAAAAAATAATGGATCATATTCGTGAGAATGACTACTCGTGGGGTGAGGGGGAAGGTGAAGTGTGGAAGGGGTTATTATACGCACATCCACATACACTTGCCCTAATTGTTGCCTTTTCTCCCATAAAATTTGGCATCATTTATCAATCTACATGAAGGAAAAGGTGACTCCTAATTGCGGACAGGTAATTACGTGCTCCTCACCACTGTAAGCTTCTGCTTCGCCTTCACCTCCCCCTCCCCTCTCCACAATTTTCCCTTCTACGTCCACAACCGTGGAACTCGGTAGACCGGTCCAAGTGGAAGATCGCCTTATCGCTCTTCTAACCTCAAGAAGTCTCACTGTTTTCGTAATTAGCACTCGTATCATCTCACTCTCCTCCTCCTCTTGCATTTATTCACACTTAAAAACCATCCAAACAACGTGCGGGTTGATGAGTTTATAAGGGGAGGTGGAGGATATGAGATGCAAACAAAAGGCCCATCCTCAAACATTGCACAAATTGCAAGATTTTCTCAAGTTGTTCGAACATCACCTTCAGCGTCACGTTCTTGTGTGCTTAATTCACACTCACCGCTAGCATCAAGTTATGTGTGCTTGTGAGCCATCGTTTTGTTTAAATTTTGCTCTCCTAGGTTATTTGGATTTTCAATGTAGGTAGTAACATGATAACCACTCGAAGGCAACACTTTCTTTCAAACCGACAAGGGAAGAAGTTAAGTAAGAGGCAAATTTCTTCCCTCCAAAAAACCAAATTTGGCTCAACCCACTCAGAAGAATCAGATAAAAGTTCGAATTAGTCGCTTCATTTTAAGCCCTCTTGCTCTCTCCTCCTCCTCCTCTTTCACAATTGTTAACTGTCCCGCTCATCGAGATGATAAAAGCCACCAATCCTCATCCCCCCGCTTCTCTCCCTCACACCCATTGGCCGAGGATCGCTCCTCCCCAACCCCAGCAACGCCTGCGTGCGTGCATGCATGCGTGTCCAGCGCTTGTAGGCATATCGGTTGAAAAGCGAGAGAGGGAGAGAGGCAGAGATTGTCAGATAAGACCACCGATGTCCACTTGCAAACAATAACAATATAAATTTCTCGGTGTGTTCGACAGGCTTATCGTGACCGTAGCATCTTGTCCGATGCCAGATTGAGCACACACACACAAATGCACCCACGAAGGGATAGCTAATTTAACTAGCCACCACTACTCCCATCCCGCCACCCATTCTCTCCATCCGTCTCACCAAATGATTAAGCCCAACTCTATTGTGAGTTTCAATTTTGACTGGGAGACAAAAGAAAGTGGTCTAGATACTGACAAATGAAATGACATGATGTAAGAGGCAGTGCTTGCCTCATCCTTCCCTTCCGCCTCCCGCCTTCCCTCCGGATAGCCTCGCTCATCCTCGCTTTTGTAGCACAGTTGACGTGTCATAGCACCCCTTTAGGCAAGGCGAATTGCTATTTCATCGTTTCCCAAGGGAAATGAGAGGAGGGGAAGGAGATAGGATGCTAAAATATGATTACAGTTAATTCAAGGCAATACTACTACAGCCACTGGTGCTACTGCTGTCGGTACTACGAGGTTTCGGATTTTACGATTCAAATTTCTGTTACATTTTATGGCGATTATCAAAAATCACATGTTCTACCTACGCTTCCCTTAAAATTAATGCACTCATAAATCTGATTGAATAAATTTCTGCAAGATTAATTAATTTAGCCGAAATATGTTTTTTGGGGTAAAATATGACCCAAAAATTCCCTCCCCCTTCTTTCCACGAATTCTTACCCAAAAACACAAAAAAGCATTATTAATTTAAACGGTCATTAAAAATATACTTAAAGCTGGCAATTAACCAGATAAATTTTTTTTAACCTTCTATCTCAAGTTACACACGCTATTTTAAAACTGCTGCTCTTCTCCAGGTGAGAGGTGATTCGTGACTCCAGCGTTCGCGGTTTCACGACCTTGAAAATATCAAATTGCAACACTGAGAGAAAACCCGCCCCACTTCATTAAGGTGCCATAAAATTTTGTCCGCCGCTTGCAAAAAAGGTGAGATAGAGAGAGATAAAAAGTAAGTTATTGCACTTGGTGGACCTCCCTCGTTGTCAAGGTCTGAGG